TATACAATAATTAATATAATATAGAATTAATATATTATATAATATTATAATAATATAATATTTAATATAATACATCTATTCCTCTATTAATAATAGGAGGACCCAAGAATCACTGTTCATGCTGTAGTAAATGCTGCAGTAAATCTTAACGCCCCTACGGAAGCTGTGCAGCCTTTCCTCGGGTTCGTAGAGTCGGGTTTCCCGTTTACCCACAACGGAGGAGCCGCCCCCACCAGGCAGGCGGCCACGGTTCATAACGCATTCTTCGCACAACAGATCCACTTTGAAGTTGACTTATTCGCTCGGCCAATCGTCGGAATGTGTACGAGATACCATAAGGGCCCAATATCTCAATAGCACCCTTGTCTAAAGCTTCGAATGAGACTGAATATCCGAAACGCAGGAACGATCTGACTAGAAAGTCATTCAAAACTTGATCGAAGAACCAGCGTTTATTGAAGAAGCAATAGAGTCGATTACAAAAAGTACTAGTTTGAAGGGCTCGTTGGAATTGATCCGCTACGGGATTTACATTATACGCTAGAGAAGCACCTGAAGTACTAAACAGAATAGGTATGAGTTTTGTAATGGTTGGAGCAGCAAACTCGGATTCGGCAAGAATCTCATTTTTTGGTAGTACGAAGGGGGAATTGGCCCAAAAATTGGATAGGGGTAAAGACGCAGCCGGGCGCCGGCGGCTTACTCAAGTGCCCCCCGAACCGCGCGAAATGGTCGCCTATTACACGGCTCACAAACTCTGCCTGGGGTGGGGGTACCTATTATTCGTCGGCGGTACGGCGCACGCAGGGTCTCGGTTTGCTGCGTGGACTTCCTATGCATTTCCTACAGAGTGCAATGGAACCCAGCTCCGCCGAGCCAAAAGGAAAGAACCGCCTCCGGCGGACAGTAGAGTATAGCCAAGAGGCTTTCGTCGCCCGTAAAGGACCTAACGGAAGACCGTGCTCCGAAGTGGACTGAGAGTTTTGTTTGTTTTAAGAACACGTCGACCTTAACCTTACCCCTTCTATTGAGCCATGTCTAGGTGGAATCGGCAAGATTGAACCGAGGCCCGCCCGGCCACCGCCGGGGGGACAACCAGACCAACCAGTAGGCTTTCTTGGGGAAGTTTTCCCCCGGGGCCCTTACCTTAAATCATTGAATTCATAGGGGCGTCCCAGCCAGTGGTCCAATGAGAAAGAAAGACAGGAGGGCAGGATTCCTCGTGGTCGGGCGAATTCATTCTGGGAAAAAAAAGGGATTCCATCGGGCTGTAGCTATGCAGCTACAGGGATTCCATCGCCTGAGCTACGCGAAGGGAAGGAAGTCGTGGGGGCTGAGCCGGAGGTCACTTTTCCCGATCCATCCAGAAGGTTTTTTTCCCTCTCTCGCCCATCATCGTACCCAGCCCAGCTGTCGGCGAATTTGGATCTTGACATGTCGGTTGTTTTTATTATTATATTGGTTTAATATAGTACACTATAATATAATTGCTACAATAATTAAAATATTATAATTAATATAATATATTATATAATAATATATGTATATAAAATATTATATAATATTATAATATATATGTTGTACTATTATATATATTATAGTATGTGATATTGCATAATAATATATAATAAATATCATAAAATAAATTATACGTATAAATTACAAATTATAGTATTCCAAATCCCAAAATATTGATATAACAAACAAAATATTATAAATTGTAGTATTCCAAATCCTAAAATATTGATAAAACAAACAAAAAATTACAAATTGTAGTATTCCAAATCCCAAAATATTAATGAAACAAACAAAATTTTAGAGATCCCAAAACCCACAAAAAATTTTATGAATTTCAAATTCTATGATGGAATCCATATCCATAAATTTTGGGATTTTAAACAAACAGCCCCTAAAACAATCTCCATAACAGTCGAAATGAAACCGCTAAACGAACCACGACAATGGTGCCCTCCGGCTCCGAGGCTCCAATAAAATGGTGATAATTAATCTACATGGTCAGTGGGCCTTGATTCTCTAAGGGCCCAATCAAGGTGATTTGTCGTGGATCATATAGTGAATATCCAATAATCTAAACACAAACCCGAATTCAATAGGTCATTCAGCTTAACTTGTTAAGTGGATCATATTAAATTAACTAGTGCTTTTTGAATTCTCAAATAAGGAATCCTGCAAATATAATTAATTTGTAAGTTAATTAATTATATATGTACTTATTAGATTATAAAATTATAACTTTCAACCCTCACCATGGTTCATGTGTTTCAGTGTAATGGTTCGAATCATACTGACCAAGAATTTCTAATGTGGATTTTCTTTTTTAAACCCCTGTATGTCAAGGTTTCGGCTTTCACCATGAAAGGGCCATTAACCTACAGGGGCATACTAGAGTAGAAATTATAATTCTCAGCCGCCGTTATGACTTTAGAGTTCTGATGCAGTGACGTGGGCTTCAAGATTGCTCAATTGTGTTTTATTTCAAATATAAATAAGATTCTATAAATTATATTAATTACTAATTTTTTTTACTTAAAATATAATTACATATTTAAATGGAAAATGGTTAAATACTACTGAAAATGAATGCTATATATACTCCTCTATACTTAAAAGGAGTATCCAAAGAATTATTGTTTATTCTGTAGTAAATATTGTAGTATGAACAATAAACAAAATTTTGTTACTATTCACGCTATAGTGATTTACAGTAGCATAAATAGTGAATCAAATTTGCGCCTTTGTACTTGAAATTACTATTTATGCAACAATAATTTATTATATCATAAAACCTAAAGCAAATCAAATGTATTAAAACTTGGATCATTCTTTAAGTATAGATATTGATGTTAAGTGATCACACAGTCAATTATATTCATGGTTGGATGGGGTTGAAGTTGATGAGGGGCCGCTTTCTTCCCTGAATATCCAGTTCTAAGTTGGGCGATTGGAAAGTCTGCACATATAAAAACACGTGAGAGGACGGGGGCTGGTTCCCCCGTAGTTCCTCCGACGATCAAGTCGGCTGGTGAGCTTGAGTGGGGAATCTAAAAAATTATGAGAGTTCTTGCGGGTGCAGTATAATATGCAGATCACAAAACCAGTTAAAAGTCAAAAGTAGTAAAAAGTCTCCCCTAATGTTAGAACAATACCTCTTTTTTATAGTGGTGCAGGAAGGGCAGAGCCGTCATTGTGAACAAGCACATGATGGTGGTAAATAAGCATGGGCTGGCAGCCGAGTTAGCTTCTGCTTTACAGGTGTCGGCTGGCGATTGGAGGAGAGATCACCTCAGCATTGAATGAGAAGTGACCGGAGGCGGCGGTGCCTACGTGGTCTGATGAGTCATGAATACTATCGGAGTTAGAGGCATGATGGCACCTACCAGGCATTAATTGCGATGTCGACGTTGTCAGTGGGGGGATCTCGAGGCCCAAGTCTTTTAGCTTGGTCGAGAAGTAACACATTTCGAGTCGTCATCGGGAGGCGTCGAATAGCTGGTCGACTGGACTCGTTGTGAGTCGTCTTCGACAAGAGGGTCGATTAGTTCTGCCTTGAAGGAATATCGACTCGGCGAGTCGGCTGAGATGTAACCCTTGTGTGTCTCGGTCGCCAATTTGATTGGGCACTGTATGCAGAAGTATACCCGTCCGTTGTTGGCAAAGAGTTGCACTTAGGTGATTGAAAACACCATAACAATAGATGAGTAGATATGATTTCTAAATCAAATGTATTAAAACTTGGATACTTTTTTAAGTATAAAGGAGTAAATATGATTTCTAATTTTAAGCATACAATAATTAAATTAAATATATCAAAACTTAGAGAGAGATAATTTTAAAATACAGTGATTAAAAAATAAAGGATTATACTTTTCACGGGATGCACATTAGTACTATACTGAAATAGAATAAAGAAGATGCGAATCTATCACATCAAGCACATTTGGAGCCACTTTGGACAAGTAACTTTCTATCTCATATCTTCCTCTGTTCATTGGCTCAACGTAAGATACTTTGGGGAGCAATAATTGACACTGCATACACCAACTTCAAAAGGGAACCTGCCGACATAAAAGAAATGGTACAATAATAATTTTACATAGATTACCTAAGTTCTTTTCTCTTAATTTAAGCAATCATACACTTAACTAAGCAAATGCTCCCTATCTTCCACGTCAACCACTCACTTACTCCTCTCACATCCTCACACATGTCCTTGTGACCAATTTCGTTGTGGGTTCCTCTCTATTACTACTTAACAATAATACAAAAAGTAGACACTAACAAGATTTTTTTAAAAAAATTACTTTTAAACCCTTGAGGTGTTAAAAACTTTATTTTCTGCCCCCACCTTTATTATAGATTTTTAGCACTCTAAAATCAAATTATACATTCATTTAACTTTTTCAAATCTTAAATACTCTGCTAAATAATACAACCTTTAAGTCTTAACAATTTTCATATTGTAGAGCTCATATGAAACAGGATCACACTCAAACAGAAAGACCTTATGGATGTATTAATAAATTATCGGTTTGTTGCTTAAAAAAAGAATAGAAAAAAAGGAGGACATCATAAAAGAATAAATGTGTAAACTTAAAGGGTTTTTCCTGATATTTAAAAGTTATGGGTGGATATCTGATAATAGTCTAAAGTTAGGGGGATTTTCTCAAGTTTAGCCTTACAACAAGAGTAATGTTAAGTGTACTATAACTTTTCTATTACTTTGGCGCTCCACAAACAAAAGAGTGGGGTCATAATGAGCTATCACTTTTTTAATACAATTTTCATGGAGGGACCTCCACTCTTTTATTTGTGGTAATGCCAAAGTAGTAGAAAAGTTGTAGTACACTTATCATTACTCTTAAGGATTTCAGGATGTAAATTAAAAGTATGAAGGTCTAAGGGCCTTATGTAAAAATTGACCTTTCATTGGTCCTTGACATAAATTTTCCCTTCTTAATTTTAGCATTGCTCCTTTGGTGTGACCCAGTCGACCTCAACATCCACTGCCCAATCTGCTCAATAATAAGGAGCTACCAATCGTGAAGAATTAGCTCAACTCTCTCCTCGACTTTTCCTCAATCAACAGCCAACATGATCCCATCCAAGCCATGGAAGCAAGACAACCGAACCGTTGAGACAACAAATCAACAAGATCATCAAGACCCAGAAGAATCCAATAATCCTCTAGCTATCGTGCCTAGCTCTGGTCCTGAGCCTGAGCCTGAGCCTGAGCCTGATCACGCTACAGCTGGCCGTGATCGGGCTCATGATGAAGAAGCGGTGACCGCTCCAAGGGCGAGGTCTGATGAAGTAGAGTCGAAGATCTCGGCATGGGAGGCCGAGGAGATGGCGAAGATCAACAACAGGTACCGGCGGCAAGAGGCGATTATCAATGGTTGGGAGGGTGAGCAGATTGAGCAGGCCGGCACTTGGCTTAAGAAGATTGAGGTATACGATCATCTCTCATGAAATCTTCATGCTAGTACAGAATAAATAAGTGCTAATACTTATTTGCAGTTATGCACTTTGTTACAACTTACAGATTATCTAGTGTAATCATGTGCATGTATGAATTATTCGTTATATATGACAAAAAGTTATGATATTACTTGTGATCTTCCTTAGGCTGATTCCATGTCTAACAGACTTCATATTTATCATACAAAAGTTTCTTTTCTTTTTATATATAAACTTATTCTGGATTTTCTTTTCCCGCATAAGAATTCTGTATTCCAACCAAAAATCATTTCATTAAGTATATACAATATGAACGCCACAAAATGGATGAGTTAGTACTACAGCCAGAAGAAAAGAAAAATGGCGAAAAACTGATGATATAGTTACAAAAAATAGTGCCTTCTGTGTTCAACCTCTTGAACATTTTTTGGATGACAATTTACTGTTGTTGCAGAGAAAGCTGGAGGGCAAAAGGGCAAAGGCTGTGGAGAAAATGCAGAACGATGTAGCGATAGCTCGACAGAAGGCGGAGGAGAAGCGTGCGTCAATGGAGGCAAAGAGAGGGGAGAAAATTGCTAGAGTTCTAGAGCTTGCAAAATTGATGAAGATTGTTGGCCAATCTCCATCCAAGCGCTCTTTCTTCAGGCCTTACAAGCACGACTCATGGGCTTGAACTTGTACTTCAACAAAATGTGTTGCACATGCACAAGGAAAAAAAAATTAGTGTGGAGAGATTTATGGTCTGAATCTTGAAAGAGCCAAGTGTAT